ACAGTACCTGGTACCTGGTACTTTTTTTAGTACCACCTCGGTTGGGGTTCCAAGCGTACCGTACCGTACCGTTACCAAAACGTGACGTGTAAACTCACGGATCACGGATTGGCCGGAGAGAATCCTCACTACCTGCGTCACTGAACTTGCGACACAAACACAAAAGAACCGCTAGATTTAAATCAGCACAGCCAGCGAAGGATCGAACGCAACGGTTTTGAACGAGCGCACCTTTTTTTAACAACCAAAAAGTGGCTGTTCCCCCTGTTGAGGAAGAACAGACGTTCCTCTCGTTGATAGCAGAGGAGCGGATCCAGCGAGAGCTTGATGGGGCGATGCGGAATGAAAAAGTTTTTCAGGAGTCGCGGCAGTAGAGGCGGCGCAACTATAACGACATGTGAATAATCCCGCCCACTCTAAAGCGGTACTAAACTGCAGTGGAAACACAAACCGAGCCGAACCAAGCCGTGCCGTACCGTACTGAGCCGTACCGAGCCGAGTCGTACCACGCAGTGGAAAAGTGCCATATGTAAATGTGTCTGTGTACTTTCTCTAAAAGTGTTTGACATGTGTCTTCTGTTTCATTTACAGTAATTGGTGAGTCAGTTTACACCTGGTACCAGTTGTACAGCTCTGGACAGTTGTGAATACAGCGTGTACTGCACACACCATATTCAATATAACTTCATACTCATAGCAGAGCACTATCTACAGTTGAGTCTGAAATCACACATTATCAGTGACATGTAGCATTCATTACATAGTGAATACTGTATACGTGAACGAATGAGCAGTTTCAGACAGTATAAGCATGAAATTGAAAAAAAAAACAGTGTTTGTATGTGCCTTGTTCTCTTGTGTAAATTAGTACAGCAATAATGGATCTTTAAATCATTTTTAGTGTAATAATACAATACACTTTTTGTATTTTCAATAAAATGTTATGTTAAATAGAGAAAGGGTCCACTTACAATGTGTAGTTTGAGATAGTCACCTAACCCAGAGGAGCTGTTCACTCGCACCAGTAGAGCTTCTTTCAGATGAGTACTGAATCCCACCGCCAGCCGATCTGCTCGTGTGCTTGGCCGGTCGTTTGGTGGCCATGTGTATGTGATCAGACCACCGTCTCTCGCAAATATAAATGTGGTGCCTGCTGCAGGAGACACAGATGTGCAAACAAACAGAGATAGTTTGGTCAATTTATTTAATTTATATATGAAAAAAACCTTATATAGCATTAAACAGACAAAGAGATTGATAGATAGATAGAATGCATTAAAGGAAGTTGTTTTTATATAAACAGCTGTTAGATTATGTTCTTCTCCTCAGCATCTGTTCTGAGCAGTAAATAGTAAATTATTCTTTGTTGAATGCATTTCAGTGAGCAGCAGGAATCTATAGAATAAAGCTCTTTAATCTCCATTTCTATCTCTATTTTCTTGACCAGGATTTAGTTTATTTAGAGGTACTTGCGACCATGTGCGACTCACTTTTCAGGTGTGCACACCAACTTTACCTCAGTGCCTGACGAAAGTCAAACAAGAGCACAGACCATATCCCATATCCACAGAACATATCCTGTACCACTCAAATATGGCAAAAACCATAATCAGGAATATTTTGGTGAATATTGAGACCGTAATTGATTAACACAAATACTTATTGACTCAGCAGGCTTTAAACACCTCTTAAACACATCATACAGAGGCTTTAGCCATTGCAATGGAGCTTTTGTAGAGAGTGAAAGCAAGAGCAAGAGATATGAGTGAATTGCAGAGTCTCAGCAGTGTTGGGCAGTCGCATCTCTAATAATAGCAAAGCTGTAAGTTTAAGAGTGCTTCCACCTCGCTGCTGAAAAATGTCAGGTAGATTTTCAGTAGCAAAACTGATAACACTGCAAGACAGCACTAACAAGTTTTTTTGCTTGCATAAATGTTTTATTTGTGTGTGTGTGAGAGAGAAAGATAAAGCAGGAGAATAAGATATAAAAAACAAGACTTAATTGAAAAAAGATTCCAAAATTCACATCCTGTCAGCTCTTTATGCATTCGAGAGTTTTCTTTCGGTTTCTTTTCTGTTGTCAAAACATTCTGGCTGTAATTAGTGTACATCATTAGTACTGGAAATGACATCAATGTGTAACTCTATCACTATATTTTAGCTAATAAGCATTCGTAAATGCAAATATCAAAACCTTGTGTCTTCTTTTATTTATGTTCTCTTCTTTTTTTTTTTGTCAAAGTCAACAACTGCGTTATTCAACAGCAGCATTTACCACAGATGAGCACAGAGAGAAGAAGAAGAAATAACCACACAGAGGAAGTCAAGTGGGAAAAAAAGTAGGCAAGGCCCAGCATTTCAAGAAAACGGTGAAAAAAATAGATGCAAGGATTCTATCAATCCTGCAGCAGAAGCATGCACAAGAGAGAAAAAATCCACATTATCTCACATGACTTACGTTCATGGCCTTTATGTGTTTTAATTATAATGCTTAAACAAGCATAGAAAAATGTGTACACTTTATAGTAAAATAAGAATCTGTATTATTTGAACAGTAAAAATCAAATGTATTATTATTTATTTATTTAGTCTATTGCTCATTGTGATTGTTATTTGTGGTGGAAGGCAACAGTGTAATGTTCTCTTGTGCATCATAAAAAAATATATAACAAATGTATCCCCAAAGCCTACTGACTGAGATGTTAAGGTCTGCAAATTGTCACAGGTTTAGCATAGTGAGCGCAGCTTTAGCAAGGTGATTGGTCATGTGGTCAAGGAAAGGATAAAAGAAGACTATAAATATAATAAAGCTTTTCTCATTTTTTGATTCTTCTTTTGTGCCTTTTGCCTCCTGGGCAACTGGGTTAAAGTAATCTCTCTCTCTCTCTCTCTAAACATATCAATTCTCTAAACATATCAATTTAATCATGGTTTTCAGCATCAGCTCTGTCCAGTGAACATAAGAATGCAAAGTAATCTCAGACAAAGCCATCAATCCATCTATCTATTTTTCAAACCGCTTGTCCTATGTAATAGGTGGTAAACAGGGGAACGTACGGTGGCCGAGAAGTGCAAAACAAATCACAATTCTGAAAACAAAATAACAAATTACAAACGCAAATGCAAGTCTAAAAAACAAAACAACAATTCAGAAAACATTATAACAAGTCAGAAAACACAATGAAAAATTCGAAAACAAAATAACAAGTCAGAAAACACAACGACAAATCAGACAAACCGGAAGAGGTAGGTATAGTTTGAGACAGCGCCATTGGTTTGGGATTACTCACCGCTGACTGGCCGAGACATCTGTCAATCAACATATACAGGAAGAACTATTTACAATAAGTGCAAATACCTATTTACACTATGTTAAAATAGCAGGATTTCTACTATCAAGTATACTACTAGTTGCAAATAGTGGCAATTATCTGCACTTCAGTATTGTAGTACATTATAAAACAGTATGCAATAATAATGTATTGAGTGTAAATTATAATTTTAATTTTAATTATTAAATGGATGCCACCTTATTGGTACAATAAAGCCCTCCCTACACCTACCCTAACCCTACCCGATACTTTATTTTCAACTTTTTGATTATTTCCTTAATTTTTATATTATACTACAAAAAGGGTAATAATTATAATTATTACAAAACGTAAAAAAATGGACACACTTCACTGAAATAAGCAGATAAATGGCAATTAGCCTGAAAACATGAATTGTAAAATGGGCAGTTTAGTGGCACATCATATGTATGAAAACATGATTTATTTGAACTATTCACTGTGTTTTTAATTCAACATAACATAAAACTCATTTAAATATATAATGTAATATAGGGCATAATGATTAAAAATATATTAACTATAAGAAAATATCCTCATATTTCAAGGTTTTGAAAGTACATAAATAGTTTAAAATACAGCTACATCTACATTAATCCGGATACATTTGAAAACGACATTTTCATTTCAAAACATTCTCCATCCACACTAGCATTTTGAATATTTTTCCAAAAGTGTCTGATCCACACTGAAATGTCAGAAAACACTAAATTCACCTGACTGCACATGCATAGAATCTCAAAAGCTCACTGCGATGATACAGATGGAAGAGACATAATAAAGTTATCAAGCTATTCTTCTGGCAGGATAATTTTATTTCACGAAATATCTCACCATTCACTGATGCATCCAGTGCCGCTCAATCACCACTATATACTTGGTCTAAATCACAACCTGCCTCATGTTTTACATTTTCTGTAATCTTTGCAGGACTGTGATATGAAGAACGTACAGAGTTGCATATCTTTAGCAACAATGTGAAAGTGAACAGCACATAACAAGCACATACTGGTATTAACATAGATATTGGTACATGTCTAAGCATGCGTCATCTTTTTCAAATACCTCTGTTTTCACAGTCCACAAAACAATGTGAAAATGGCATTTTAAAATGTATTCACTTGGGAGAGCATCTTCAAACAGTTCTGCTTTCACAGGACAAAAATGCTGTCTCAAACTGGAAGGAAGGCCAAAATTCAGAGAAAAAGATGCATTTTCAGATCTATCTGGATTAGTGTAGACGTAGCCTACGCAGCTGTGGTTATGTTGGCGGAAACTGAGTCATCAGTGTCCCAAAGTGTAGTGAATCAGAGTCGTTGCCAGTGCCTGAATCATGTACACGGCATTTTGATTCATGACCTAGGGAGCTGATTAAGAGCTGATATCTGTGTCTCCTGCCACGTGACTCCTTTAGCAGCAACAGCTGCTGCCAAATGTTTCATTTAGCTGCTTATAAGACCTGCATGAAGTTGAGGATGAACTCTGAACCAGTCCTCTCTACAAATCTGTTTCAGTTTGCCCAACATTTGGTGGGATGGACTGATGAACACTCGGTTCTTTAGCTAAACCAGCTTTGTTAAGGTGACCATATGTCCTCTTTTTCCCAGACATGTCCTGGTCGGGATTTCTAAATTGGCTAGATTTTGGCTTTGCTTTTCTACTGTTTTCAAACTCGCTGAAGGTAATGACTGCAAAGTACCAATGACGTGATAATCAAGCAATTGTGACATGCAAGAATGCAGAATATACAGGGAATGGCCATACATATAATGAATGAGGAGTGTAGAGAGCACGGCAACAGGAAATCAAAGCCAAAACCCAGACATTTTAGGCAAGGCAGAAATCCCAGCCAGGACATGTCTGGGGAAAAGAGGACATATGGTCACTCTAGCTTTGCACATCTCTAAAATGCATCTTCTATGGTCATGTGTAAGTTGTTGGGACTGAGGCATGGTTCACTAATTGATCTCTCTTGAGAAGAACAGATTTGTTTTGTGTGCCTTTATTGAAAGAGCAGGGCACCTGTGAAACATACACAGCCAGTCTCTTCTTCTTAACTGAAACATCTGACTCCAGTTACCTTTTGGATATCTTTGAAAAGTAAATCTACGTGTGAGTGTGTTATTAGTTATATTGTGTTTGTCTATCATTTTACTTACAGTATCTCACATTTGAGTACACCCCTCACATTTTTGTAAATATTTTATTATATCTTTTCATGTGACAACACTGAAGAAATTACACTTTTCTACAATGTAAAGTAGTGAGTGTACAGCTTGTATAACAGTGTAAATTTGTTGTCCCTTCAATATAACTCAACACACAGCCATTAATGTCTAAACCGCTGGTCACAAAAGTGAGTACACCCCTAAGTGAAAATGTCCAAATTGGGCCCAATTAGCCATTTTCTCTCCCCGGTGTCATGTGACTCAGTGTTACAAGGTCTCAGGTGTGAATTGGGAGCAGGTGTGTTAAATTTGGTGTTATCGCTCTCACTCTCTCATACTGGTCACTGGAAATTCAACATGGCACCTCATGGCAAAGAACTCTCTGAGGATCTGAAAAAAAGAATTATTGCTCTACATAAAGATGGCGTAGGCTATAAGAAGATTGCCAAGACCCTGAAACTGAGCTCTTCGGAGACTGGGCTGCAGGGCAGTATTCCAACATGATAACGACCCCAAACACACCTCCAAGACTACCACTGCCTTGCTAAAGAAGCTGAGGGGAAAGGTGATGAATTGGCCAAGCATGTGCATCCACATAAACCCTATTGAGCATCTCAAGGTCTCTAACATCCACC